AAGTTATTTTCTTAACCTATCGTTAGGTATTACAGTATTAATTAATAATATATACTTGAGAATGACTCGTTGTATTATAACCGTAGTGTAACTATCTCTGAGTTTAAATTCACGCATAGCGTGATACTTTTATACATAATATTGTCTAGCTGCAACACTTTTTTAATGCACCCCTTTAGGACAAGTAACAAGGAAAATATACATATTGAAATATTCGGTGCAGTTAACCATGTGATAGTAATTTTGAATACGGCGCGGTTATTCGAGGCACAAAGACCAACAGTTGGATTCTAGACTTTCATAATGTACGTACATAAGCTTATATACTTTAAAAATATCTCGTACGTACATACGTACATACCAAATGCCCACAAAAAAAAACATCATAGTTAAAGCTCTGAAGATCAATTGTGTATAATTCGTTATTACTAAAAAAGTTTCGTTATTAGTTTTGAGTTTTAATTATGACGTAAGCTACTTTTTTTGTGGGCAATGCTAGGGCTGTTCCAAAGATGCTCGACGTGATGGTAATATATACTATTTAGTGTATAGCGCAATAAGACATTAACGTTAAGGAAACCAAATTGTGAACAAAAATTAGTTTACTGTACATGAATCTTTTTTGTAATAGAATTATTAATAAAAATTATGAAATTGTTTTGTAAAGATTATATAATTACAAATTAAATTCAGAAATCGATAAGTATGTATACTTATTATTACTTTTGTGGTTATTAACAGTAAAGAGAAATTCTTTTAAAAATTAAAAGTCGAATATATTGTTGATATTATGTCTATCACAATATAATTAATAAAATGTTTAAATTAAATCTAATCCCACTAAAAGAAAAAAAAATCTATAAATACAAGAGAAATTAACAAAAGTAAAAGTAATTTACAATTTATTTTGCCATTTTTGTTCTTCAACATTCCACAATTCATATTTAACATCTTTAACCTTCTCGCAAGCTTGCTTCACCAGATCCTTATTTAACTCTCTATAAACCTTTAGATCCAACTTATTCAAAGATTTTACATCTACCGCGTATTCTATAATAACTTTTAAATGTTCGTTATTAAAACAATTCGAAGTACTAATTTCCAAAGTTTTCAAATTAATTCCACCATTTTCATTCAAAGAACTTAAAAAGACTTGTAAATTTGAAGGGGAAAAAACGTAATTTGAACCTCTTATACCAAAATGTTTCAAATTTGGTAACCTAAAATTAGTTAAACTCTTTAATAATTCGTTCATCCCATGAGAATTTAGACTTTCTAATTGACAAAGAATAAAAGTTTCTAATTTCTTGCAATTTTCGAAAACTGAAAGAAGTTGAGAAATTTCAGTTTCATGAAAAGAAGTTTTAAGATATTTAAGATCAGGAAATTTGTTTGCCACGGAACCAAACATTATAGTTGAATCATCAGGTGATTTTGGATCTTGAATTTTTTTTCCAAGATCAAGGTATTGTAAATTTCTAGAAGAAGCGTTTAAAATGTATTTCATAATTTGGGGTTCAACATAAGAATTACTCATATCGAGTATTGAAAGAAAAGGGAATTTTAAATGAACAGGGGGGTGAGGTTCAGGAGTTAATTCGAAAACTAATTGGAAATGACAAGAATCACAATGTAGTTTTTCGAGCATCCTTAAAGGAGCGAGAATAGGTAAAATTTCCCAACCATAAAAGAAAACACCGACGAAACTTAAAGAACGTAGAGAATTTGAATGAAGATGAATAGCAGAACAAATAGCCTGTAATCCAGCGGGAAAAGTATGTAAAGAAAGGTGAGTGAGACGTTTTTGAGATTTGATAAGAGTTGATAAACTTAAAGCTTCTAATTCAACATAAGAAACATCTATAATTCTTTCACAAAAGTATTGGTTATGGTCTAAATAATCTATGCAAACATCAAGTTTTGAAATATTGTGAGCGTCTTTTGCTAGGGTAGTAAAGAGATCACGTTTTGAAACTTTTGTAGTGCAAATTAGATGAGTTAATTGAGAATGATTAAATTTTGGACGAAAAAATTTAGTAGAAAAACCGGATAATCTTGAGTTTAGAGAATTACAAGGAAATTCATCTAAATTACAACGCCTAGAAACCAAATCCACGGATAATTGATGAAGTTTCGGACAACGTTTTGAGAAAATTTTGCAAAATATGTGAGCAATTCGATCAGCAGACATTTCAGTATTTTTGTTGACACGAGTTGAAGAAGTTGAAGAATTTGGTGAAGAGTTTGAAGAATGTTTTGTAGAAAGGAATTGTAGAACAGCATAAAAATCGACCTTCTTTTTGAGATTTTTGTTATTTAGATGATCAGAATGAATATCTACAGAAGGAACTCTTATAAATTGACACCATTGACTGATCGAAGGAAATTGATGCTTTTTTGAATTTTCCGTGAGATGTTTTGGATTCATACCATCATGAATTGTAGCGGATAATTCCAATAAATCAAGAGTTTGTAAAAAATCCAGATAATTAAAAACAGGTGCGGTAACTTGAGAAGGAATTATTTGTTTTTTAATCAGAGAATTCTTATTTTGGTAGATTATAACAGACATATAAGTTTCGATCAAATTTTTTGCTTGAGATTGTCTTTTTTCATTTGAACACTTGCAAGGAGAATTTTTGCAAGAATATAAAAGCCGAAAAGGATGACACCATAGAAAACGAACGGCAATTTGACACCAAAGACGATTTACTAATAAACAAGAGTGTAAAGAGGATTTATTATATTTAAATTCCTCGAATATTAATAAAAGACAATCAGTAGGAAGAAATGGCGAAGACATTTTTTTAATATAACAAAGCTATTAATCGAAAGCAGAATGCTTTTAAAAAATTTTAATAAGAGATTTTAATAAGAGATTTAAAAATAATAAATAAATTTTAATAGGAAATCTTGTAGAAATTTATCAAAAGGTTTACAAGAAAAATGAGATTTACATAATTTATATAAGGACCGAAAATCATGATAGTTGATTGTTCTCTATTAT